TTTAAGGGATTTACATATATGATATTATTTAGTCACACAATGACCTTATGAAGAAAACACTATAATCAGTTGTATTTTATATGAGGAAAAACAGATCCAGAGGCATTAAATAATTTTCTTAGGTTCACACAGCTAGAAAAATTGCAGAGCTGGATTTGAAGCAAGGCAGTCTAGCTTGGGAGCTGTGATTTCACAGTGTCAATGTGATCCTAGCTTCCAGTTATTTCAGTGTCCTGTCTTCATTAGTCTGAATACAGGTTGTATTTACCAATGTTAATGTAAGAAGTGACATCAAAAATTCATGTGCCTATTCATTCAGTCAACTTTTGTTTTAATCAAAGCCTATACAATAAATGATGTGGTCAAGGATAGGAGCCTCTGCTTTAGCTACAGACACACATAATTTTCTTAGGTTCACACAGACACACGTCAGGACTTAGATTCAGGAAACAAATAGCAAAATGTCATTGGTGGAATAAGGCTGTGAGTTTAAGAGTCAGTGGTGGAAACAGGTTAAGTAGGACAGAAGTGACTTCATGTAGTAAATCACTTCAGAAAAATTAACAGCCCATCAGCCTGTCCAGGATAGACAAAGTCCAAGACAATGATACAGAAACTCAGGTGCTCTGTAGAAAGAAGGAAGAGGGTTTTTGAGTTTCCCAGGTCATTTCTTTTGAGAGGAAGAGATGTGAAAAGAAAGGGAAGAGGAGGAAAAGCCCTAGACTCCACCTGGACTGAACTACTGAGAAGTTCTTGAAAGTGTAAGTGGCTGAAGGGCTTTTTAAAACTAGGAAGGTTTTTTTGTTTTTTGTTTTTTTTTGTTTTTTTGTTGTTATTGTTGTTGTTGTTTTTGTAATATTATGTTATTTGCTTAGTAATGTGACCCTCCCTCAAGTTTTCCTTAGTACTCCAAACAAATGGGTCTCAAAGTGTGATCCTCTGACCAGCACCTCAACATGAATCTTGTGTGGGGTGCATTCTCCGGAACCTTCCCCAGAGCTACTGAATCAAGAATTCTGCAAGCTGCATAACTAGGATAAGTAACAGCTTGTAATATGTGCTAAAGCTTGAGAGCCTCCGACCCAAGCCTTAGCAAAAGTCTGCTATTTTTCTCAGCCCTGTGTAAATAGTACTTCAGGAAATGAAGGAAGCAGGTGAGTATGAAGCAGATGTCATGAATAAGAAATGTGATCCAAGCATGCATTTATCACTGTAGTAAGATGCCTTTAATTCTACAGGATAAATACCAAGAAGTGGCATAACTGGGTCATATGGTGGTTCCATGGCTAGAACCTGGAGAAACCTCTATACTGATTTCAATTAGTGGTTGTACTAATTTACAGTTCCACCAACAGTGTAACAGTGTTCCTTTTTCTCCATATCTTCTCTAGCATTTATTATTATTTGTATTCTTGTTGACTGCCAATCTGACTGATATGAAATGAAGTCTCTATAGTTTTGATTTGCATTTTTCTAATTGCCAATGATGTTGAACATTTTCTCATGTATTTGTTGTCCATTTGTATTTCTTCTTTTGAGTTCATTTTCCCATTTATTAATTGGGTTATTTGACTTTTTGGTGGAAAGTTTTTTGAGTTCTTTATATATTCTAGATATAAATCCTCTGTCAGAAGAATAGCTAGCAAAGATTTTCCTGCATTCTGTGGGTTCTTTCTTCACATTCCAAATTGTTTCCTTTGCTATGCAGAAGCTTTTTAATTTTATGCTGTTCCATTTATTAACTCTTGGCTTTATTTCCTGAGTTTCAGGGATCCTATCAAGAAAGTCATTGCCTGTTTTCTGGAGTGTTCACCCTTTAAGTTGTGTAGTTTGGGGTCTGATTCCAGGTCTTTGATCCATTTTTTTATCAGTCACTTTTTAAAAGTATATCAATAATGATGTGTTTCAAAATAGCCCCGAGAGTGTGTGAATCCCAGTTGTGGGTAAGGAATCTAATGGGAGGTTTGCTGACCATTTCTACATTGGTGACACAGAGAGCTATTCTGCAGGGGGATGCTGAGATGGAAAACATCACAACTGGTCAAAGCTAAAGATAGTATGTGATTTAAGATTTTTTAAATTTATGATGATATAAAAGCAAACAAATTCAGTAGAAGCCATAATTTACATACTGAATTTTGATCTTTTCCAAGGCTAGAAATATGCCTTATTTATTTATTTATTTATTTGGATGCTGGGCGGTGAGCCACAGCTCCCACTTAGCCACACAATTATGAGATTAAACACCAGATAAACATACAGTATGCCACATAGCTTAGCTCTAATGTTCAGTGGGTTAAAGGTAGTATGTGACTTTTTTGACTTAAGATATTTTCAACTGTAGATTGGTTTATCAGGACATAACCCCATTAAGAACCAGCTTTTGCAGACGTGCATCAAGGTAGGAATAGGGGAGCAGGAATACAGTCAAACCAGCAATGGAGTGATGGCATGAAAAGAAGTGACACATTATAGCCATAGATATTTACTAAACTGGTGGGAATCTAGACCATCTTATTTTTATACCAATCCCTTGATTTTTATCTGGAGAATCAAATGATGGGAAACATAACTCACATTAACTTCTGTTCTCTCTCAATCCATGATCCTCTGGGAAAGCTATCCCCCATCACTTCACTCCCCCCTCCCGCTACACATCCTCGTATACTCCTATTTGGCGACTTACCTCTCTGGTCAAGACAATCAGATCATCCTATTTCCCAGTGAAAGTTTTTAGTTCTAGGATTCAGAGGGATTTAAATACAATCCAATTCTCCAAATGGATTTCTGAGAGTCAGGCTCAGGGTTTTATTTGAGCTATCCGTAGGAATAAAGCTTTTCTTTCTGATAAATTGGAACTATGAGCAGGATGTATGGAGTTCCTGGTGTCCACTTTGCATTTTAAGGTGACATTTCATCTCAGGACAGAACCAAGAGATAGAAGAGTAAAGCATGCAGATTGACCCAACATGTCCTGCTCAATATTAAGTCCTTGGGGACAGTCACTCCTGAAATTGAAGCTCTTCCAAAACATTTTTGCCTTGTAAATAAATTTTTTTTCTTTATTGGTTAGCCAGTTCAAGTTGAATCTTCCTACATCAGAGAATAAAAGAGATCTAACCGATATAATAGGTATGCCTGAGAGTAAGAGAAAAACAGAAAAATCAGTGACAGGTGATTAAGACATCTAATCTTAGACTCCAAGAAATGTGGGAGGAAGGATGTTGTGCTATCATAGGCTGAAATAGCAATAGGGTTTTGAGCACAGAGTTCTGTGTGTGTTCATGAAGAATTCTTAAATAATGTAGATGCCACACTGGCATACCCATTATTGGGATAAGTGGGAAATAAACTACTTCCACCATACTATCCATAATGAAAAGCAATACATTCTCTGGTAAGAATTACTGATCATAAACTAGATTAATACTTGATACTTTGTTCCCTAAACAAGAGCTATGGAGATGGCAATGTGATTCCTGGTGTTGATCACAGCCAGATCTACTCTGCTTTCTCTCAGGGTCTTTGGTTTTCACTGCTTCAGGGTACACTGATGGCTCTTCCCAACAGGTACCTGAAGCTCTCCACATATAGCCTTTCTGTGGCTTCCTGAGGTCTAACTCTTAAGGGTGAGCGAGTTCATGACTCTGCAGGAAGCATCTTCAGCCAGTGATGAAAGGGAACAAGAGGGTAAATATTTTTATACAAAAGTGATGAATCCACTGAAAGAGAAATTAGGAAAACTACCCCATTCAAAATAACCTCAAAAATATAAAGTAGTTGGGAATCAACAAAAGAGGTAAAAGACCTCTACAATGAAAATTACAGGACAATAAAGAAGGAAATTGGAGAAGACCTTAGAAATCGAAAGATCTCCCATGCTCTTGGATGAGCAGAGTTAATATTGTCAAAATGACCATACTACCAAAACTGTTATACGGATTTAATGCAATTCCTATTAAAATCCCAATGACATTCTTTATA